TAGCCCCCTTTGCCCCGCCTCCCGCGGGCGCCTCCTCTCCTTCGTGTGCCGCCTGCTGCTGCTCTCTCCTCCCTGCTTGCCGACAGCTTTTCTCAGTCTCCCGAGGTCCCGCTGCCAGCCAGCGCCAGCAGCTTTTTTTATTCCCCGAAGTGACCTTTTAATTACATAATGACTTACAAACACTCAGCACCGACAACATACCAAAATAATTGAAACAATGTTTTTCCAGCCTTGAAAAACACGATTCTGTACCAAAACTCTGTCCTTTGAGATTCCCAAAGTTAGAAAAACAAGCGGCAGGAAGGTGGCGTGAGCTGGGAACGGGGAGGCTGTCGGCTAGCTGGGCATGCCTGCCTCGGCTTTGAAGCAGGGGGCTCAGCAGGGCAGCGATGGTCTCTCAGCCCGGGGGGGCCCGTGGCTTCAGGTCAAGCCTGTGCTGGGATGCAAGCAAATGAGTGAGGGCTGCAGCCGGTTGCCCGCTGTAACTGGCATTTCCCTTTGGTGGCAAGCAAAGAGCAAAGGAAAGTGCGGGGAGAGTGTGATGAGATGACGAGATTTCTCTAGCCCCTTTGTAACTCCCCACTGCAGGCATGTGGGTGAGGTGTGACGTTCTGGGCGATGCAGGGAGAGTCCCTTGGGCATCAAGGCCTTGGTCTGGGTGCACCAAGGAGCTGTGGTCTCGGTTCTTACTGCTGGTCTTACTCCTCCATCTCTCTGCTTCCTCCTCGCAGATCAAGAGACAGCATGGCTGCGACTGCTGCCGTCAGCCCCAGCTGCCTCCACTGCCCAGGTGAGTACGGGGGCATCGGTGGGCTCCCGGCTCCCCGCTGGGGCGGAAGGACATGTCCTGGGATGCAGGACAGCAAACGCTGTGTCGTTTGGCCCCTCTTGCCTCTGCCGTAGCCACTGTTGCCGCGTCAGGAGGAGGGCTGGTTGCAAGACAGGCTGGGGAGCCGCACGCTGGACTTGTTCCCAGTCCCGACGCCAACTCTTCCGGAGCGTTGTTTCTCCTCCCTGTGCTGTGTTTTCCTTAAGGACCTCTTGGGTCATGTTAGCAGCTGATAGCACAAGGTGGTCTTGGAACTAAAACTGCATGAAACACTCCAGGGTGTGTGTAATGGGTGTAAATACCAGCAAACTTGCAGGGTATTTGCAGCTTTATAGAGATTGTAAGAACCTAGGCACACGATTAAAAGGCAGTCGCCATCCTGATGGCTAAAAGTAGTGTGACTAAGGTGAGCTAAAGGCACACGTAGTATGGGTAATTAAGCAGTTCCCTTAATAAGGGGTGTCTCATTGGCATGGACTGGATTGCTTTCGATAGCACGTACCCTTTCCTTCGCCGACTCGATCTCCAGATGTTTGGCACAAGCTCTTGTCTCTAACCTACCTGCCTCCTTCCTGGCTCCCCAGGACTCCCAGCCATCTCCTCTTGCCCTCCTCGCAGCGACATGTAGCAAAATCGGTCCCCCCGCAGTGGAAGCCGCCGTGACTCCTCCTGCCCCTCCTCAGCCAACGCCTCGCAAACTCGTCCCCATCAAACCTGCTCCGCTCCCTCTGGGTTCCGGTAAGAACAGCTTTGGGATTCTGTCGTCGAAAGGGAACCTCTTCCAGATCCAGGGCTCTCAGGTCGGCACGTCCTACCCCGGGGGGCAGCTGGTTTTTGCCATTCAGAACCCAACTGTCATCAACAAGGGCACCCGCTCGTCTGCCAACATCCAGTACCAGGCGGTGCCCCAGATCCAGACCGCGGGGGGACAGACCATCCAGGTCCAGCCCAACCTCACCAACCAGATCCAGATTATTCCAGGCACGAATCAAGCGATCCTCACCCCTTCCTCTTCCTCTCACAAGCCCGTGCCCATCAAACCGGCTCCGGCGCAGAAGGGTGGGGCTTCGCCAGTGCAGGGCGCAAGCAACGTGGTCAAGTTAGCCGGTGGCAGCAACGTGACTCTTGCCCTGCCCGTGAACAACCTGGTGAACGCCGCTGAGCCGGGTGCGCAGGCTCAGATCCTTGCAGAGAGCCCCTCGAAGCCCAGCAAAAAGACTCGAAAGAAAGCCATGTCGCCTGCCCAGCCTGCCGCCGTGGCTGGGGCGTGGA